CAACTCTACCACCTCCCTGGACAGGCTGTTCCCCGTCCTGAATGCGGGGCTTCGCACCCATCAAGCCCAGTCCCTCCATACCAGCTACTTGCCTTTGCCTTCTTTTTTTTGGCCTTTTTTCACACACAGAATCACACAGAATCTTCATGGTTGGAAGGGACCTCTGAGATCATCAAGTCCAACCACAAAAAAACTAAACCAAACCAAAAAAAAAACCCAACCTACAAACAGACACAAAACAACAACCTCAGGCACTAGAGCATGCCCTGACCAAATCAAACCAAAAAAACCACCAACCTACAAACAGACACAAAACAACCATCTTGGGCACTAGAGCATGCCCTGAAGTGCCACCTCTACACATTTCTTAAATACCTCCAGGGATGGTGACTCCACCACCTCCCTGGGCAGGCTGTTCCAGTGCCTGACCACCCTCTCAGTAAAGTAATTCTTCCTAATATCTAATCTAAACCTCCCCTGCCACAACTTCAGACCATTTCCTCTGCTCCTGTCATTATTCCCTTGGGAGAAGAGGCAAACATCCAGCCTCCTCTTCCAGCCCTCAAGTCTTTGTCTCTTCTGCCAACTTCATCACAATGAATTTACATTCTCTCGGGTTACTGATGATGATATATGTAATAACAGAGGGCTAGCGAGCATCCTGACTGCCTGCGTGGGAACCCAGCTCAACACCACCAGACTTTCTCAGGGGAATTGCACGTCCCCAGACCTTGCCGGGCTTTAGGCATACATGGGAGGAGCAGCTCAGCCACACTCTTGCTATTTCAGTTGCTCTTCTCCCAGGCCTAGCAAGGGGTCAAAGGTGGAGGAATACAGAAAATAAAGATCAAATACTTCTGCAAGCAGCACGGATGGACACAGAGGACTGCTCGCTGCAGGACCTCCGCCTCTCCAGCACATACACCCAGCCGAGTAAGATTTGATGGCACCGTGTAACTCATAACCACAAAACACATGGCACCTAGGACTACAGAAACAGGCTGATATTTTTTTTTTGCAAAACTGAGATTAATAATTATCTCGCTTTTTTTTTTTTTTTTTTTAATGCCAGATGTTACAATCAACTACTGTCACATGCAATTAGACTCTTGGACACTGCTATTCAGGGTGGAAAGCGAGATGGTCTGTGACCTGCCGGGGCCTTGTATTGCCATTTTGTAGCTTGGTTTTGAGCATAGCCATGCTTTAATCTATACCACATCTGTACTACAATCTGAATGATTATATTAGTTTCAGAGCTGAGCATACCACCTACTGCCAAAAGGCTTGCAAATGTGGAATTTCACAGTGAAATATCATTATAAAATCACTGGTTCCTTGCTAGAACTTATCAATGTTAGGTAGACGGATCATGCAAAAGTCCTTGAAATAGTACTATAACATTGCTCATGTGAAAATGTACAAGAGCTTTTCATGGGTAGTGCTGTCATTTTGTATTTCTTTTTTAATTACAACTTAATTTGAAGCCAAGAGGAGCCTTGACTGGAAAGCTCCTCCCTGCAGAGTACATTCATGTTCTAGCAAAGGATGCCAAAAAGTCCATTTTAAAGCTTTCTTAGAAGTAAAAGTACTGTTGCTTTTCCCCCCTCTGTGAAAAGCCATTCCCAGAGAAATGACTGTTGTTTTCTCAAGCCTTAAACTGAAGGCGTATTTATTTGCACTGAGGCCAGACAAAGAATTTTGTCTGAAAATAAATTTTTGAAGGCAACGTGGGAGAGAGGGGCTGCGAAGGAGGACTGCAGGTAGCCTGCCTGTCGGCTTGCAGGAGCGTGGGCCTAGAATGTGGCATCTTGGTGCTGCCCACAGCCACCCATGGTCCCTGATAGTCTCCTTTAAGCTCCTTCCCCATCACAACCCAAGTAATTGCCATTCCCAGAGCAGTGTCCTCGCCTTTTCACTCGCCCTCCTTATCTATTGCAAAGCTTCCTGCTCTCCCTTCCCTTTCTGCCCTGCAGGCCTACAACTGTTGCTTGTAATAATTTTTTTTTATACGGTTTCTATCTCTCGCCTCAATCCAGGCGGTGCCATTGTAGGCAGTTTCCATGTGTCACTGCTTCTTTCAAGCATCATATCCTCCTGCAAGATACCGACGCATCCGACTCGGCCTGCCCACTCTCTCCTTTGTGCAGGCTTTTTATTGCAAGTTATTTAAACTCCCAGCTATTTTCCCGATTAAATAAACCCGGGACCAGTTACACTAAAGGTATCAGGGTTTTATTAGAAAGCTACATTGCCATCTTGTTATTTTGATCCCTATTCACCTCTCATCTTCCCACAGACAAAAGCCTCCAGGTTTCTTTATATATACGTGTATTCATGCTTTTATTGAGCAGGAATCCTCTTTGTAATCTCTGCTCTGAGATGAGACTGCCCTGTGGATCATAGTGTTTTACTTGGGTTGGATTTTGTCTCTGCTCTGACAAGCCCCAGGTGAAGTTAGTTAATGGCAACAGAACAAAGTAAAGGACTTAGGATTTGGTCCTGATTTCAGTGATAGGAGTTCACCTCCTTGTCACGCTGTGGAAGCTTGTTTCCCTATTGCAGCCACATCCAGATTCTGGGGGGACTGGGAAGGGGATGGTGGTGGGGAAGATCTTTCTGGTTAGGATACACAAGGGTGGGTATGGTCCGTGAAAATGTAAAGCAAACTGAAATTCATTAAAGCATAGCAGTTATGGCAAAGATAGATAGTTGACAAAAATACACTATCTTGCTATAGTTAATGGATTTTACTAACCATGCGGTTCAGAGCCCAGAGATGGGAGAGCTGGGCTGTAGTTGTACTCCCTGGCTGTGGGATGCTGCCTGGTCACAGGGGTTAAAGCTCCAGCCTCCCACCTCCAGGCAGGAAAATGCAAAGGTGGTCCGGCTTTGGCTTTCCAGAGGTGAACATCTGCACAACCGTAGGTGAATAAAAATGTGGAAACATGCAAAAAATCACCAGGGCAGCTGGGGATTATTTTTTTATTTAATTTTTTCCCCACTATTTCAGCCTGCAAACAACATACCCTGATCTGATGCCCTGTTCCAGCCACTTTCTGATACACACAATGTCTCCATCCAGACTACAGCTGCACCAGCACCTGACTATGAGCTCCACAAAGGACACTGCTATTTTGGGGGTGCCCACAAGTCCAACTCCGTCTGTCAGTTAACAAACTGAAGCAGAGCGTGAAGTGTCAATCAGCCTCATGCCAGCATGCACAGAAAACCTGGCATTTTCTCCACCACGCTACAGCTTTTTCCCCAAGGCATGTCCCACCCTCAGGAATGTGGCATAGGGACAGTTCTTGTTGGTCTCTTCGCTTCTGACTACATGTAAGGATAGCAGCTTTCACAGTAACTACCTGATCCAGACAGCCTCAGAATTATTCTCTCCCCTACCTAAATTTTCCTAAAGAGTGCACAAAGCAGACCGAGCGCGGTGGGACAGAGTCCATTCCCATGGCTGGCACAGTAGAGGGAAAGTAACAAAAAAACCACCTCCAAACACCCACCCCTGCAAAAAACCAAAAAATCAAACAAAAAAAAAAACCAAACCCAAAAGTGGCTAACGATGAGTCAAACCTCAAAATTCCCCAGAAGAAGTGAAAAACAAAGCACACAGCATAGAAAAGGTAATGTGTTAAGTAACAGCTAAGGAAAACCAAGGGTACCTCAGGCCTTCGTCATCCAAGGGCTTCTCCTTCGTCGGTGTTTCTGTAAGGTGGGGACATGCCTCCTTTTGTCCCCCCACCTTGTTGCATAGGTGGCAGAAGAGGTTTGTGGAGGTCCAGATGTTGCTATTATTAAAACAGAAAGAGATCAGCATTGCTTATAACTCCTACAGGTGATATTTCTCCAGCTCCTATCCTCAGGATATACATGTAAAATATCCCTATTGACTAATTGATCTTAGAGCAGCCCCTCACCTTGAAGTTACAGTGGCCATCTCCAAGCTAAATGAGTTGTCCACGTTGTATTGTCATGGGAACTGAAAAAGCAGTGGGAATAGTGATGCAAGTAGAAGAAAATAGGAGACAAGTGTAAGGGCAAGGTTGTTGGCATAAACACTTTGATCAAAGTTCTTGGCAT